AAACAACATATCCATGCCACAGTGTTTTAAGACTCAAGTCAGTTTAGAAAGGAAAACAAACATTCTACATTTTGCACTCCAAAACCTTTTCCAGTAATGCTGTGATTGGTATGGCCACAGTTTCTATATTATATGAAAGTACAGGATTTCACCCCTAAAGTTCACAGATACAGCATTAAAAACAGGCCAGAGGGATCACAGACCTGTAGTTCTCCACAGTAACTCTGGCATCCTCTAAAACCTCACTGGACAGCAGCACGTTTCTGGGGTCCGTCACCATGAAGAAGTGCTGAGCTCGGCCCATAAACGTGCCCTGGTCCCATCGTGGTTCTTTAATGTTGATATTCAGAGGCAAATCTCCAGACATCCTATTCGATTTCTGTGAAGATCATAAATAAGTCTAGGTTATAGCGAGACTGAGAAACATAAGATGGTTTAGTAGCTGTTCAAACCTGATTTGTGGGAACAAGGTAATTGGTAGACTTAAAAACAAATGATCATCTCTCAGAACATCTCTGTCATGAAGAATGAAGAACTGCAGCTATGCCAACATAGCTGTAGGTGACATAGTTGAAATGGTTTCAAAAGTGAAAGTAAAACTAAGAAAATTAATGGCTGGGATCATTAAAACTAACAGCTCTTAAACCATATTTACTGATAAACAGGACGGACCCTCTTTCTTTATGTTCATGAATATTAATTCGCTTATTGCCATGCACGCCTGTAAACAACAATGCCTGCCAGATGAACATGTGAGATTAGCAATGCATATCAAAAGAGGAAGGACTAGCCGGGGCTGTTGTACTTGCACAGCTGTTTACTGCAGATAGTATGTAACTGAACTGTTTATTAACTGGTATTATCTATCTACCATGGCGAGCGATATAACCCGCATATTTACTGCTAATTTAGCTAATGCTAACTGCTCTGCTGGTGCGATGTAAACTGACAAGGACATGCAAAATACCTACATTTCCTATTACATGAATTTCATTTCATTTGACCGAAGCTGTCACCTTGTTAAGCCGAGTTGTATGTGCTATTTTCACTTATAAAGTATGCAATTTAATTACAAGCAAACTCAAATCCCCTTCAGCCGGCTAAAATACCGTTAGCTAGCTTCAACGTAATCTCACGTAACGTACATGAACACAACCATATCAAAACAGACAAACGTGCAGTTTTGCTTGAAGAGTCGTTCAGTAAAATATCTGACACAGACCTTGCTAAAACACCACAGATACCGTTAGCGTTCAGGTACACCTTGAAGCAGATGACCGCAGTGCTGACTGCTTTCCTCTGCGTGCTGACAGGATTGAACGCACTTCCGGTCTCGCCTTGAAAACCTGCGTGAAGAGGGTTGAAATGATGAACGGGCACTTCTTGTGTGAAAAGGCGGCGTTTAGAGTACATAGACCTACAGTTGGCTCGTGAGACTGCGCTGTGATTGGTGGTTGGTTCTGAAGGCGTGGCCTGGATGAGAGCTGCATTATGATTGGCTATTTGATTCGTGCTTTTCCTGAGATGGGTCATTAGTAGCGCCAGCCGCCAAAGAACTTATAGTGACTTCTATACTAAACTCTATTGGTAGCGCTTACCTCCACATGCGCTGAGTTGCTTTAATGGGGATTTTGAGCTTTTTGAAAAAGTATTAAAGGTGTTCTAAGCCGATATCAGCAATTTAGCAAAACTTCAGCCAGATGTATCCGCCCTCCAGAAAATGAGTGACTGGCAAAGAACGTTTCTGATGGGCTAAACAAGTTAGGGCCGCTCTGCTAACTCTCTTTTTAAATATATTTACAAAACATATGATTATCACAGACAGGTGTAATATGTGAAAAACACCTATTTCACCTATTTCAGTCATATGGTATCAAATATGTACCTATAGTATCAAAATAAACGCGTACGTGCAGCACTTTTGACCTTTAAGATGAGCCAAATTAAATATCAAGCTGCAGTTTGGGATGTTACAAACAAAAACGATTGTTGGAATATGAAAAAAGGAATATGAATATGGCGAAAAAGACGTCTAAAGCAGAAATTTACATGTACGATAGATACATTATAGGTTGTTAATTATTCATTTTCAGTGGCGAATTCGGTTTACACTGCAATACAATTCTAGTACACGTAAAAACCAAATTCCCAGAAAAGAAATGTCGTTGAATGACCACTACATGGCAGTATAGTGTTATGAAAGATGCTCCGATCTCCTTGGCGCTCCAAAGGGGATCAATTCAAGAAGAATTCACATTCACCATTTGATCAAAAGAAATTCTCAAACACTTCTAACTGCAACCATTTAATCCTGATAGATAATTGAACCACAAATGAGAAGAGAAGCGTGCTGCATCTTGTTGAAATGCGCTTCATTTAGTGTTTGATGGCAACGGGCGCTTACCTGCAGACCAACGTGAGACTTCATTGGATCTGCACTTGTTCCACAAGACCACTGTTCATATAATACTCTTATGCTATGAGCGACGATTGTCAACCACTGGACCAAATGAGTTTGTGCAGTGTGTCCTTCTGAGCTGCTCCACATAATCCAATCACATGCATTGAGAGGCGGGCTTAAAGGAGGCTAATATGGTCTTTGCTTCAGGTGAGGTCATGCGGCACAACATGGAGACAGGTAAAGGCATTTCACTTCATCGAACTTTGTTTTTCTTGCATTTATGCATCACATTAACAGCAGCCTAAGTAGGATAAGTAAATAAGGTAAATTAGCTTTTATTTAGGATGAATCTTGCTGGTAATGCAAGTAATTTCCTACTAACTTGTTGACTGCATCTGTGCCGTGAGAATGTCTCATAGAGGATGATCTTTGTATAGTTTTAAGATCTTCTCACCCTGATTAATTTAAACTAGGCTATTTATTCTGCCTTTAGAAGCTCAGGCCCTGGATGAGGGTTAGAGGGGAGGTCGGCACTTTGCCATGGCTCATTCATCTGACACGGCACACAAAGACATGACGAATGGGGCTCATCCCAGTGCCCAGCCAGGGCCCTCGGGCACTTCTACTCTACCACGCTACCTGCACAGGAAGCAGCAGCGCCAGAGAGGAGTGAGATCTTCCTCTCCTATGGGCAGGGTCATCCTCATCAATGCACCTGTCGATGGTGAGTCTTCTACAATAGTTTGCACCTTGACATGATCTAGATGCAGGTAACCAACATTTTCTCATGGCAATTCATTGCTATTTTATGTTTTGGTGAATTGGTGGCGAATATGTATAATTTTGAACTCTCTCATTTGTAAATTTTTGTACAATCTGCCTATGCCACTTTAGGTTTAGTGCTGGACATGAAGGCTTAGTTTAAAAAAAATAATTTTTTTTAATATGTTTTTGTAAATTTAAATGCATGCATTTAGCAGGCACTTTTATCCAAAGAGTCATACAAAAGAGGAACAAAGCAATTTGTCAAAGAAATATAAATTCACAGAAGTTCGCCCAAAATTTTTTTTTTATGAGATCAGGCTGAGGTAATAGTTTCTAAAGTATATTTATTCCATTTAAGGATTAAAATATAATGGTACTGTATTGGTTATTGGCTAATATTTGACTTAAAAAAATTAAGTAGTATCAGTTGATATTGGATATTTTTAAATGCTTAACTTTAGTTCTTAGTGTTTTATTTATTTCTTAGATTTAAAAAAACATAGTTATAAACTTTATAGTATCTGTTATCGGCCATAGCATGAAAATGATCTGCTTAACTATATCAACCAGATCCATATCTATAAATTGTGATATCATGCTTCCCTAGGACAATAACAGTACAGTATCATCAAACAGTGAAATGACACAAACAGGATCCTGTGATGCTTTTTAAACAAAATTGAAGGGGTTGCTGAATGCCATACAATTGTTGACTGACATCCCTTTAAAAACACCCCCCAAAAAAATGAATGTTTAGTTTTTTAAACAAATTCTTACATAACAACATATTATGATATGATATGATATGATATGATATTATTTATATTATATTATATTAATTGAAAAAAATTAGAAAAACATTGACAGAATCCATTAATAAACTTGTGCTTTGTATGAAGAATTTATTTTCAGAGGAACTTTCCATTTGTGTTTGATTTTGGTGCACCATAGGTGGGGATGACAGTGAAGACATCCACACAATTACTGTGGACAAAAGTGAGGATGGCAGGCTGGGCTTCAGTGTGCGGGGAGGCTCTGAACATGGCCTGGGAATCTTTGTCAGCAAGGTGGAGGATGACAGCTCTGCAGGTACAACTGATGAGGTCACAGGACTGGGATTTGCATTTGAGATTTAAGATTTATTACATCTTACAACAAGGTATGTATGTATAAGCTATTGGTGAGTTTCAAGTGAATGTGAATGTGGTTTCATCATTCCACGCTACAGAGTTGGCAGGCCTGTGCGTTGGGGATAAGCTGGTCGAGGTGAATGGCATAAGTCTGGAGAGCATCACCATGAGCAGTGCAGTAAAAGTCCTGACAGGAAACAATCGTCTGCGCATGGTAGTAAGACGTGTGGGGAAGGTGCCTGGTATCCGCTATTCAAAAGAGAAGACTACATGGTAAGTGGGTAAAGATTTTATGTGCTCACTTGAACTTGATTTACTATTTTGTAGGTTTTTATATCAGGCAAAGCACATTCTATCAGGCTGAACATCATTTATAATATTATTTCTGCACCACTGTCCACATTTATTTCAAGACACTGATATTGGCTAAGCTTTTTTCTTTACTGTTGTTTGTTTTCAAACTTTTTTATTAACATAAACTGTCCATCTCCATGAAGTGTTGATATATTAAATCAATTAATCAGAATCTGATTCTGTATGTTTTTCAATAAAAACAATACTTATTAAAGGGTAAAATACATCTGTTCTCAGTTTACATATACTGTATATATTGTTTTCCAGGTTTTTGCATTTTTTAAAAACTTTAAATTATTGAGAATTTGAAGTCATCCTGTGGAAGTTTGCTGAAGATCCCTGGTTACAATAATTACAAAAATTACAGTTTTATTGTGTATCTCATATCTCATGAGATATTGTGTATCTGTGCATACAAAAGTTTTAAAAAATCAATTATTTTTATTTTCATAGCTATACAAATAAGTAATTAAAAGCATCAACATGACCTTTAGTAGTCTGCAATGGCAAGAAAAGTAGCTGTTTGTATGGCAGCTTGACCTGTCTCCCACAAGCCTGCCTCCCGGAGGTTGTCCAGATACCCTTTGACAACTCATGACAGAAAAGTGTGTTTTGTCCTTGAACATTTAGAGGTTCTTTTGGTGTTGAAATGCTGTTTTTAGGCATTTATTTGTTGCAGATTTGCTGAATGATGACTGACTGAACTGAGAAGATAAGCAGAGTGTAGTGATGGGCTCTTTCCCCCCTGCCTTGACTAATGGGGGTGGAAACCCTGTGACTCTTGGCCTTTTCTTGTTATCTTTTCCTTCAGCTTCTGTTTCAGCATTCAGCAGTGGTAGAGTTACTTCAGTGGTCTTCTCAGCCATTTCATTAACTGATAGTAGAGTGAGCAAGTTTATTACAGAAGCATATGTGTGTCCTGAAAGTTTGTGTGTGCTTGTGTATAACACTGGATTTTTACTTAAAGGTGAAGTGTGTAATTATTCATATTAAAATATTTTCTCCTATCGTAACTTAATATGGAGAGACAATTATAAACCATTTGTAGGTTGAAGTGGAAACACTGTTTTTCTGTGTCATATCATGTTTGAGTTTGAGGGCTGGTTATCTGTTTGTCTGACCAATGAAAGATTGGGACAATTCCGTTTGGCCATGCTGTAGTGCAGAAATTAGTTTGGGGTTGGTAAGATTTTTAAATGTTTTTGAAAGAAGTCTCTTATGCTCACTAAGGTCATTTGTAACTTAAATGTAATTTATCCATGTGATGGCAAATATTCTATTACACCAACATTACTTCAGTCTTCAGTGTCACATGATCCTTCAGAAATCATTCTAATATGCTGATTTGCTGCTCAGGAAACAATTCTTTTTATCATCAATGTTGAAAACAGTTGTGGTGCTTAATGTTTTAATGGAAACCATGATGTTTTTATCAGGATTCTTTGGTGAATAGAAAGTTAAAGAACAGCATTTATATGAAATAGAAATCTTTTGTAACAATTTAAAAGTCTGTACTGTCACTTTTAAACAATTTAATGCATTCTCACTAAATAAAATAATGAATTGCTTGTAAAAAACATACAAATATATGTAACAAATGCAGGGTAGATTTGATCCACCGAAGGATGGTAGTGGAAGAAAGTGGTCGCACACCTTCAGAGGCCAGTTCAGATGGAGCCCTGCGCAGAATAGTGCACCTTTACACAACCTCAGATGACTACTGCCTGGGCTTCAACATCCGCGGTGGCAAAGAGTTTGGCCTGGGCATCTATGTCTCAAAGTAAGACATAATTACCGTGGATTTGAGGGATACATTTCCATGTCTGACAACTTTATAACAACTGTTGCCTAGATGCTATGATCAATTGTTGAACTTTATAAATGTGATGATTTGTTTAATTTTGTGATAAGGCTGGACCCTGGTGGCCTGGCAGAGCAAAATGGAATTAAAATGGGGGATCAGATTCTGGCAGCCAATGGAGTGAGTTTTGAGGACATCACACACAGCAATGCAGTAGAAGTGCTAAAGAGTCACACACACGTGATGCTGACTATCAAGGTGAGAATAACCAAAACATTAGCAATAGACCCCCCCCACACACACACACAGTTTTACAATTAATTAGTAAGGAATGTCCATCTTTAATGACAAAATGTACAGTTTTACATCGGTGTGTACATCTTAGTTTATCAGGAAGACAAAATTTAAGTTTTTAGTTTAGCAAGACAAATTATTCCAAATTATTTTTTTCATATTAATTGCCACCACAGCATGTTAAACAACACAGCCTCTTATTGCGTCTGGGAGTGAGAAAGCATAGCAAAGCAGACAGATGGCATTTAGCCGTCACATTCCTGGTTGCTCGCTTTACTCAGGCAGAGCTCAGGTTCCACCTGTGAAAAACAGCCAGCGGGTGTGCATTATTCACCAGGCCTTGGGGATCAAGTTATAATCAGCAGAAAGCCTCGTTTTATGGCCTTTTCTCATTGCCCCCATGGCAAGGCTCTGTCAAACCTGCAGTGGTGCTATAAGTATATAGGGCTGCTAAATGCCTGCTTTGTTAGCTATTGATGCCACTTTGTGGTGGTAAGTATGAGCTCTGCTGGTGATAAGTGAAGTGACAATGTGAGAAAATGTCAGACAAGGATCAAAGCATAAGGAGAAAGGGATGTTTTTTGAACTGTGCTGCAGTCTGTTCGAATCCAGCTCTTGAATGACGTTACTGCCGTAACAAGTGACTTACTTTCCTGCAAGGCAGATCAGGCTGCCTCCTACCATCATCTTAATGATGTTCAAGCTTAACGATGTTTTGTGTTCATGAAGTAACAAGCTAACTGTGACTTCATGTACACCTAGGGCATCAGAAATGAGGTCATATCCTCCTGACTTGACTGGTGGAAAATGCAGTTTGAAGTCATTTTTAGGCTGTTTAGACTTAATTTGCACAATGAATTATTTCTAACACAGGACTTTGAACTTGCATGCAATGTAATTAAGGCTGTGGCTCCTTTTCTCACTGCGATTATGTCTTGTGTAATATCCTGTCCTAGGAGGCTGGCCGATATCCTGCTTACAAGGAGATGGTGGCGGAGTACAGCTGGCTTAATAAATGTATGTAAACGATACCTGCAAAGTGCAAACCTCACTATTTAACATCTTATCTGTTCATGGATAGGTTGTTTGCTTGATGCGACCCACTCATTTGCACTGATATCTTATAGAAAAGCAATTTTCATAGTTAAATTGATGGTGTGCACTGGGACGGTCCATCTCCAGATTAAAACGGAATACCACATGTCAAGCCAGATTTTTTCATTGCTCTCTGATTCTCTGTTTTCCATTTAATATGGATGGCAGTGTCTGAAAATAGCCACACATTAGATCTTAATGTTCACATTCAGATAAGTTGACCGGGAGTGTGCATGTTTGTAACGTCATGGTGATTCAGGGGTATTTAGGTTGCAGGACAGAAGCTCATGTATTTCTGATCCATATTTAACACTAGTGACATTGATATATTGTTCATGCAGATGTAAAAGTACATCAGGACTTTCTTTAATATTTATGAGGCTTTTGGCTGCCATGTCTGTTGCTATATTTGTTATGATTATTATTATAATTTTTTTCCGCAAATTGCAGTTGTTATCCAAAAAAGCTATTTCTATCTATTTAATGCATAAAAAAACATTTTATTTGTATAAATTAATGTATTTAGGTGGACCCAGATAGATAGATAGATAGAGAGATAGAGAGATAGATAGATAAAAAATAAAAAATCTATTAAAATATATAATCTATAGGCAAATAAATAAATCATATTTTGGTCTTGAGTAAATATATTAAATGAAAGTCTCTATTTTTCCCCCTTAGTGGCTAATGGAGGCCAGCCTTCTTCCTCCCAGGGTTCAGACTCCTACTCCTCCACTTCCTCTCTCTCCTCTGGGACGCCGGTCAGCTCTCTCAGTGGCCTTTCGCAGGTCATGTTCCCTCCTATATTTGGCTCAGAGATGGTGGATGTCTGTATCTCCACTGAGGACCGCTCATGCCGGCCCAGCTCTGAACGGATAGAGACCGCCATGCAGACTGACCCACTGGAGCCTGACACCACATCAAAATCTAGTAGGGTCATAAACACAGAAACCAGCCGAATGGTTGGAGAAACTGTCCTGTTAAAAGACACAGTGATCCGCAGTGGGACTGCCAAATCTCGGACAAGGACCTTCTCTGCTGGGGATAAAGAGACTCTGGACTCCCCTAAAACGGCAGTCCTGATGGCTCTCAGCAAGCCTCGGAAACCCATCCGCCGATCCCAGAGTCACATCACTGTGTCAGGTACAGTAAGGCTGTTTGAAGAGATAAAAACAGTCTGTCAAAAGGCTGTGAATCAAAATGAGGTGAGCTGCACAAGGCCGTCCTCTGTTTGTGTCACTGATGTAACTCATAACTCAGTTGTAGTGCCGGGGCCCAAGGTCACAACCAGATCAGTGATGAGGATCTTGGGTTATTTGATACACACACCATGCTGTGGAAGCTCCGCTCAGAATAGAAAATGTGTTGTCGAAAACCAGCAATTGACCTTTAGAGTCACACTGCTACATCTGTTTGTCAAATATATAGCCGTGTGCTGCCATTGCATCTCTGCATTTAAATTAACTTGGTTGAATGCATAATACATCAGCATTACTGCATGGGATCTTCCCGTGAAAGATTAACGGATCAGACTGGAGAATCTGATGCCTTGCGAAATGTATGCTCAAAATCCACACAGCAAAGTATATATTATCCTGTTTTATTTGCCAAGCTTAATACCTCACACTGTGGAGATAAATGACAGGAGGGTTTGTGGCCTTTAACAAATGCATTCAATCACAACTTAACATAACAAGCTCTTCTTGGGTGAATCTCACGGAAACATGTCCAGGTCGTATTTCACCCCAAATCAAAAATAGAAAAATAATAACATGCAGAAGAAAAAATAGATATAATGGCCACAAATTAATAATTTGTTCCCACAACTTATTCATTCTTTACCAAGTTGTATTAAGTTGTTCTCTCATGGTAGTTAAATCATGGTCATGTTGAACTATTTGTTCTCTTGTTTTAATTTAGTTAAATTGTCGATAGAAGAACACAATTTAAGAAGAACCAATTAATAAACTGTGGAAACAAATTGGCCACAACATCTAGATTTTTTTGCCAGAATGTCATCCGTGGGGCTCTGTACATTTCCCTCAATTGTCGTTAATGTATGCTGATGTTTTTATTAATTTTTTTTTTTTTACTTGTTTACAGAAATAAAAATGAAATTTAAAAATGTAATGAATAAAAAATAAAAGGCAATAGAACATTCACATTATATTGCAATTGCAATATGGTCCTAAAAGTAGGTGATACCATTATATATATATATATATATATATA